GCTCAAAACCACACTTTTAAGGTCTCTCAAGAACTGTCTAGAAGCCGCCGATAAATGCAGTGAGATCCTCAAGAAATCCAATGAGACCCTCGATGTTGTTATAAAGAACCAACTAGAAATTAAGCATACACTGACTGAAATAAAGAATATTATACAGACACCCAACAGCAGACCAGAGGAGCGCAAGAATCAAGTCAAAGATCCGAAATGCGAAGAAGCAAAAAACACCCAACTGGAAAAGCAAAATGAAAAAAGAATCCGAAAATACGAAGATAGTGTAAGGAGCCTCTGGGACAGCTTCAAGCATACCAACATCAGAATTATAGGGGTGCCAGAAGATGAGAGAGAGCAAGATATTGAAAACCTATTTGAAGAAATAATGACAGAAAACTTCCCCCACCTGGTGAAAGAAATAGACTTACAGGTCCAGGAAGCGCAGAAAACCCCAAACAAAAGGAATCCAAAGAGGACCACACCAAGACACATCATAATTAAAATGCCAAGAGCAAAAGACAAAGAGAGAATCTTAAAAGCAGCAAGAAAAAGAAACTCAGTTACCTACAAGGGAATACCCATACGACTGTCAGCTGATTTCTCAACAGAAACTTTGCAGGCCAGAAGGGAATGGCAAGAAATATTCAAAGTGATGAATACCAAGAACCTGCAACCAAGATTACTTTATCCAGCAAAGCTATCATTCAGAACTGAAGGTCAGATAAAGAGCTTCACAGATAAGAAAAAGCTAAAGGAGTTCATCACCACCAAACCAGTATTATATGAAATGCTGAAAGGTATCCTTTAAGAAGAGGAAGAAGAAGAAAAAAGGTAAAGATACAAATTATGAACAAAAAACATGCATCTATCAACAAGTGAATCTAAGAATCAAGTGAATAAATAATCTGGTGATCATAATAGAATCAGGGACATAGAAAGGGAATGGACTGACTATTCTTGGGGGGGAAAGGGGTGTGGGAGATGCGGGAAGAGACTGGACAAAAATCGTGCACCTATGGATGAGGACAGTGGGTGGGGAGTGAGGGCGGAGGGTGGGGCCGGAACTGGGAGGAGGGGAGTTATGGGGGGAAAAGAGAGGAACAAATGTAATAATCTGAACAATAAAGATTTAATTTAAAAAAAACTAAAAAAAAAAAAATTAGCATCCTTTCATTTCAGCTTGAAGGAGTCCCTTTAACATATTTTGTAAGGCAGATCTAATGGTGATAATTTCCTTCAGATTGTGCTTGCCTGGAAAACTTGATCTTTTTAATACTGAAGGACAGTTTTGCTGGTAAGAGTATTCTTATTTGGAAGTTGTTTTTCCTTTCAGTTTACTTTGAACATATGCCAGTACCTTCTGGTCTGCAAAATTTCTGATAGTTCAAAAATCTGCTGAGAGTTCTATGGAAGTTCCCTTGTACTTAGAGCTCATTCTCTCTCTCATTCTCTCTCTCTCTCTCTCTCTCTCTCTCTCTCTCCCATTGCTCTTAAGATTCTCTTCTTTTTTTGGAATTCTCTGGGCTTCCTGGATATGGATGTCTGTTTTTTCTCCAGGTTAAAGAAGTCTTCAGCCATAATTCATTTGAATAAGTTTTTTGCCCCTTTCTGTCTCTCTTCTCCTTCTGGAACTCCTGTAAGTCCACTGGATTGTGTCCCTTAAGACCCTCACTATCTACACTCTTTTTTAAAATTCTTTTTTCTTTCTACTCCTCTGATTGGATGAATTTCACTGCCCTGTCTTCCAAGTTTGCTTTTCTATTCTTCACTTGACTTAGCCTGTTGCTGAATTCACATTAAAATGTTCAGTGCAGTTAATTGCATTTCTCACCTCTATGATTTCTGTTTGCTGCCTTGGTACATTTTTTATCTCTTTGTTGAAATTCTCATTTTGTTCATGCACTGCTCTCGACCTTGGTGAGCGTCTTTATGACCATTACCTTTAGCTCTTTGACAAGAAAATTATCCCCATTTCATTAAGTCTTTTTCTGGAGTTTTATATAGTTCTTCTGTTTGGAGTATAGTTCTCTATTTCTTTATTTTCTTGATTCTATGCATTGGTTGCTGTGCATTAAATACAAGTCACCTCTCCTTGTCTTGACAGAGTGGTCTCATATAAGAGATGAAGCTTATTGATCAGCCTGGCTTGAACTCTTGGTTGTCTCTCAAACCTACTTTGTGATTGTCCAAGCCGCCTTTTTGTTCTCTGTAGTCCCCAATAGTTGGGGGTATGCCAAGGCCTGTCAGTGTCCCCAAAGGAAGGATCTCAGTCTGCATCTGTATGCAGGCTGGTTGGAAGCTGGACCTCAAGCAGCAGCATTTAAAGTATGCAGGTAGGCAGGTCTCTTTCAAGGAAATATGGGGACATGGGCTTTTCTGAGGAGCAGCTGTGCCTTATACACAGGTCTGGTCTTTCTTTGCCATTGACCACAGCACCCACTCCTTGCCCATGCTGGCTTCACCATTAACACTGGCCTGGCCCCTCTCAGCTATTGTCTGTGGTTTCAAACTATGTTCACAAAAAAGTGCTACACTACAAATGTGTGTGCATGCATACACACACACACACACACACACACACACACACACTTCAGGTGTTAAGACTGACAGAAAAATTTCCCCCAAAAACTTTGTGGAACATATTTGACTGAATATCATCTTGCTCCATCTTGTGGTCATTTTAGAACCACACAGACTATTCCCACACCAAACACAACAGAATGTGGCTTTGTCAGGGGATAATGTGAAACAAGCATGTCAAACTCAAAGGCTAACACAGGCCAAATAGGCTAACACGGCCAAATAAACAAGCTTTAAGTTGATTTGGGCCGCAAAAAAAACAAAAGCTTCAATTTTCATAGAAACGTAGGTTTATTTCAATAGAGACATGCTGAATACAAAGGGATGAAATAAATGAGTAATCATTAACATAAAATAATAGAACATTTTAATAAAAATTAATATTTTTTTGAACATTAACTTACCAGACACTGAATAACTATACAAATTAATAAGCGTAACGCAAATAAACCTATTTTTCTTGTTCTCTGAAAGCGAAATATTTCCTGTTGCACACACCAAACAAGTCAGTCCAAGACTAATGACGTGACAATTGGCTGCTAAAATATTCACTGCTGGTATTAGTGGAGAAAAATGGTGCACCTGCATGTAAGGTGCATAAGGAAAATGAATGCAACACGATTATAGTAATCAGTCATTAGCAAATGTTGTAATTCATTATTAATCATTATGTATAACAGGATATTGTAAAAATTAAGTTATTAAATTTTTATTAAAATGTTTTTTTCATATCATTATATTGGCTGGGCTGCAAAAATATTCATTGTGGGCCGCATGTGGCCTGTGGGCCGCAAGTTTGACATGCTTGATGTAAAAGGATTTATATAATGTGTTCAGTACATTTTAGGAAAGATTCTAAGAGAGTAGAGCATAAAATTTGATCTGATAAAAATTTGTGCAACCAGATATCAAGCTATGTTACAAAGCTACTGTTCTCAAAACTGCCTGGTACTGGCACAAGGACAGACGTATAGACCAATGGAACAAAACAGAGAACCCAGAAATTGACCCAAACCATTATGCTCAATTAATATTTGACAAAGGAGGCAAGAGCATACAATGGAGTCAAGACAGTCTCTTCAATAAATGGTGTTGGGAAAATTGGACAGATACATACAAAAAAAAATGAAATTAGACCACCAACTTACACCATACACAAAAATAAACTCAACATGGATAAAGGACTTAAACATAAGATGGGAAACCATAAAAATCTTAGAAGAATCCATAGGCAACAAAATAGCAGACATACGTTGTAGCAATATCCTTACCGATAGACCTCCTAGGACAATGGAAACTAAGGAGAAAATAAACAAATGGGACTACATCAAAATAAAAAGCTTCTGCACAGAAAAAGAAACTATCAACAAAACAAGAAAGTCCACTGCATGGAAGAACATATTTGCCAATGTTATCACCGATAAAGGTTTAATCTCCAAAGTTTATAGGGAACTCATACAACTTAACAAAAGGCAGGTAAACAATCCAATAAAAAAATGGGCAAAGGACCTAAATAGACACTTTTCAAATGTGGACATACAGAAGGCCAAGAGACATATGAAAACATGCTCAAAGTCACTAATCATCCGAGAGATGCAAATCAAAACGACAATGACGTACCATCTCACACCTGTCAGAATGGCTAGCATCAACAAATCAACAAATGACAAGTGCTGGTGAGGATGCAGAGAAAAAGGAACCGTCATGCACTGCTGGTGGGAATGCAGACTGGTGCAGCCACTGTGGAGAACAGTTTCCTCAAAAAGTTAAAAATGGAACTCCCATTTAACCCAGTAATCCCACTTCTAGGACTATATCCCAAGAAATCAGAAGCACCAATCAGAAAGGATATGTGCATCTCTATGTTCATAGCAGCACAATTGACAATAGCTAAGATTTGGAAACAGCCTAAGTGCCCACCAGCAGATGAGTGGATTAAAAAACTCTGGTACATCTACACGATGGAATACTACGCTGCTGTAAAAAGGAAAGAACACTTACCATTTGCAACAGCATGGGTGGACCTGAAGAGCATTATGCTAAGCGAAATAAGCCAGTCAGAGAAAGATAAGTATCACATGATCTCACTCATTTGTGGAATATAATGAAAATAAACTGATGAACAAAAATAGAACCAGAGACATAGGAACATCAAACAGCCCATCAAACCTCAGAGGGAAGGCAGGGAGGGTGTGTGGTGGTGGGGGTAAGTGATCAACCAAAGGACTTGTATGCATGCATATAAGCCTAACCAATGGGCACAGACAGTAGGGGGGTGAGGGCAAGTGCTGAGGGATGGGAATGGCCAGGGAGAGGTTAATGGGGGGAAAGGAGACATATGTAATACTTTAAACAATAAAGGATTAAAAAAAATTATGCAGAGCCCCAGAAACCCCTGTCACTTTACCCAATAATGAACCATTTTTTTCAATCCTGTTTTCTTCTCATTCCCTGAAACAGAACAAACAGATACAGGGTTCTTCCCTGCCCCTTCACTTTCCTGCTCCAGAACTTCTAGCATTGCCACAAAAATCTTCACTGGTGAGCTCAACCTGACAAAGTATAAATTTAATGGATAGAAGTTACAACTTTGTTAGTAAGGACTAAAGAAGGCATTTCTTATACAAGATAATGGTCATTGTAATTGGAGCTCAGCAAATTTCTATAGGTTATCTACCTGCAAATAAAAATCACCTTGCTAATATAGAACTCTTTTTTGTGGTACCAATTATAATCAATAGACAATTCCACTGGCCACAAGTTGAGCTTCTCTTTCACTATTTAGGTTGCTTGTACATTCCATTTCTTCCATAAAATTGGGATGACAACAATAGTGGGTACCTTTCAGAATTGATATAGCAACATATGGTCTTGGATCAGTGAGTTGTCACAATACATGTTAGCTGTTTTTATGTGTAAACAAAGTGCTCAGTACAAGAGTCTATCTTGTTGATGGATTAGAATAAGTTGAAATGAGTCAGGGCTAGCTAGAGTGGGTAATTACAAAAATGACAGCTTATGTATATATTTTATTGCATTTGAAAGGCAAATAAAAACAGATTTGGGGGTATCCCTATTCCTTCTTACCTTTCAGAATGTAAGAGATCTTAACTTTTAAGGACACACTTTGTACAGGTATATTTATGATGGTGGATCAAAGAGGGACATACTAGTACGAAGCCCAGCCAGCATGGCTCAGTGGTTGAGTGTGGACCTATGAACTAGGAGGTCACAGTTCAATTCCCCGTCAGGGCACATGCTGGGGTTGTGGGCTTGATTCCCAGTGTGGGGTGTGCAGAAGGCAGTCAATCAATGATTCTCTCTCATTATTGATGTTTCTATCTCTCTCTCCCTCTCCCTTCCTCTCTGAAATCAATACAAATATATTAAAAAGAAAAAGAAAAGAAAAAAGAGGGGAGATAAAAGGTTCAGGGGAAAAAAATACAAGCCATATATCTTAGCAAGTAAAAAATACTTACTAATCATCAGACTTATTTTATGAAATGAACAAAACATCTCTGCAATTTGGCATAAAATAGTTTGTCCACACCACTGTTTTGAGAAATGCATAAAATTGCCGAAAGACACAACCATGTGTCATGACTGCCACCTTGTGGTTTTATGTATATTAGCCTTCAGACATCAAATAAATATTTTACATTGCAACAACCAAGTTCTAAAATACACCAACAGTTTGTGTATGACTTTTCCCCCAAGCATTGTTAAAAATTCTCCAAGTTGCAAAAAGGACTATGAATTAATTTCTTTGCATCCACTTACTGGCTAGCAAGGGCCTGAAATACGGTAAAAATTCAAAAAAGATCTCAATCACATAAACTCTAAGTCACATCTGTCTAAATTGTACAAGTGATGTGTGCTTATGTGTTTGTTACAAATTTTAAAAATTATGCTTAATTAAACATGCTAAATAACTTATGTATTACCTATAAAATGGAATATATATTCTTATTAAAAATATAGAATTCGAAATTATTTTGATTATTTTTTAATGCACATAATTATATTCTAATCCTTTGAAGGATAACAGGATAAGAATTAAGTACAAAGCCTCTAAATGCCTGTTACCTGGGATCAAATATCCTACTCTGATTACTTACTTCCTAGTTATAGGAACTTGCGCATGCAACATAATACCGTTGTGCCACTTGCCTCGTTCATAAAATGTGGATGAGCTCAATAGTACAGATCTCACAGGGCTGTTGTGAAAGTCAGTTATAGTTTTCAGAGCAGTCTTCGGTACTTTGGAGAGGTGACCAATGAATGACAGCTCTTATTCTGGGTAACCAACATCGTGATGGCATGATTCCAGCTAGCTGTATTGTTAGAAATCAGACTTCCCCATTCGAAATGTTCGCGATTTCTCCCACAGGCCGTTCACTTCTGCCAACATACGGGTGTCTTGTCTGTCGGTGAACCTAGAAAGACAATTTTCTGCTGGACACCCACAGTGAGGGCCCTCAAAATGACTAGTGAGCAAGGTGTCAAAATTGCTACCAGCTAGTGTTTGCTAGATGTCTCTCCTTCTATCTTTTTCAAATAGGAGCACATATATGATTTTGTGGTTGTAATGATTTTTGTGGTTGTATTCTTGCCCTGCTGTTATACATATTGAACAGGTGGGGAGAAGAGAACTTTCCCTCTTAGTTCATGGAGAGGTGTCACCACCAGACTTCCACATCAGTACATCATCCAGAAATACTGAACTCTGGGCTTGTGGCCATGACACAATGGAATCATTGGGTTGCACTCTTGAAAAGGGGGTGAGTATAGTTTGTGTGTAGGAGAGCGAACTATTTGGTGAGTGAAGGGTGGATTTGGGCAGTTATTAGAACAGTTCTCCAAATATTTTCTTTCCCTGTCTGGCACATGCACCCTCAGAGTCAGGAGTGGTCATGTGACCAGCGTTGGCCCATAGAAAGTGAGAAAAGGTGATGTGTCACTTCAGGGTGGAAGCTCTAAGTTTTGGTGCATGATTCATTTTCACTGTCCCCTGCCTTGCTGATCATGAAGGTATGTGTCAAACTGTGCCTCAGCCTGTCCTGGAGTGATTATAAACTCCTCAACAATGAGCAGAGCCCCTTGGAGATCCAGATGGACACAGAGTTTGAGCAAGAAATAACATTTGTTGTGGTTAAGCTCTGAAAATCTGAAATTGTTTTCTCATCACCACCCAACCTACCCTATTATAGAAAATGGCCACAGTCACTATAATCCTCTGGGAGGTAACTCTACTGTCCCTGCCCCTATCCCAAACTCAACCCCAGAGGCCCTTTCCCTTGGCCTCCAACTCCCAGCATAGACCCAGGCTAGAGTGCTATGCGGACGATGGGAAGATAGTCAGGAAAGAGCAGTAAGGCTCTGGAGCCAATCTCTCTGGCTAACTTGGGGGGGGTCCCACCACTTAGTAATTAACTGAATGACTTGGGTTTGCCCAAGTGACTTGTGTAACATAGGGGTAATAGTGCTTACGTGTTCCAGTTACTATGTCAAACTATAGCTATTACAGTTTGACCCCAACCATAATAGTGTCAACCATTTGTTATGTTCATGGATTTATGAGTCAGAAATGTGGACAGAGCAGAGTAGGGATGGCTTCTCTCTCCTTCCCATGACTGAGCTGAAAGACTCAGACTAGGAAGGAGCTCAAATAACCTGAAGGGTCACTCACTCACATACCTGGTGGTTGATAGCTGTTGACCACAACGTTGGCTGGGGCCTCTTCGTGTGGGCTGGGCTTCATGACAACATGCACCGAGAGAAAGCTGAAGCCAGTCACCTTCTGTGCCTAGCCTTGGAAGTTGGTGCTCTTCTCCTGGGCTCTGCCAGTCAAGGCAATCATAAAACGCTGCCCAGGCTCGAGGACAGGGGAGAAGAGCTGGCCTCCTCAGGAGTGGCAAGGCTCTAGAAGTCTGTGGAGCCAGAAGTATTGCTGTAGCCACTTTTAGAAAATAAAATCTGCCACACTTCCTCAAATGAGGGTAAACTCACTGACTAGTAAGCAAATGAAGTTTGGGTCGGTAGATGTTGGGTGTGATTGGTCCACTGCACAGGTTTGGAATCATGGAACTGCCTCCTTGGGGACCCGCCCACTCCAAGGATCTGTTACCTCAGGCTCCAAACCAAGCTAAGGTAACCCCGAGACAGGAGGGGCAAGCTCTGACTCTGCAGCCTCAACCAGGTATTTACCTGAGTCTGACTCCAGTAGGCTCGGGGTTAGTTCTTTCACATACTTCCCCAGTGAAGGGTTTCCGAAGCTTCGAGAACTTATCTAACCAAGATCATATACTTGCATATGTACAATTGCGCCTTTACAGTAAGGGATCTGCAAGAAAACGTTAACATTGCTTAAAGCAATGGTAGGATTTAGGTGGTTTTTTTAAGTTTAATTTTTTATTTATATTTTTTTAACAAACTCTTGAGTATTTTAAAATTCCCATTCCCCACCCCCCACCCCCCTCCACCCCATCCCCTTTGGCAACCATCAGCTTGTTCTCTGTATCTATGGGTCTGTTTCTATTTTTTTTTTTTTAGATTCCACATGTGAGTGAAAGCATATGTATTCGTCTTTCTCTGACTTATTTAACATACCCTCTATGTCTACTCATGTTGTCACAGATGGCAAGGTTCCATTTTCTTTTATTGCTGAATTATATATATATATATATATATATATATATATATATATATATATATATCACATCTTTTTTATCCATTCATCTAGGAATCGCCATCTAGGTTGCTTCCATATCTTAGCTATTACTAGTAGTAATGCTGCAATGAACATAGCAGTGCTTATATCTTTTCAAATGAGTGGGGCTTTTTAATGGTGTGTTTTTCTTTTTTCTTTTTTTATAAATAACCAGAAGTGGAATTGCTGGATCATATGGCAGCTCTATTTTTATATTTTGGGGAATCTCCATACAGTTGGAAGTATATCATTCTGTCAAAAACTATCAAGTACCCTTTTTCATCAGTGTTAAGGCAAAGTGGAAAAAAGCCTCTTAAGGGGCACATCATCCACTAGGCACAGCTTGGGTGAGGCTGAAAAGGCGGGACAATGTCAGCTAACCACCCTTAGTTTGTGCTGAGAGGACTGGGTGTATCTGTTGTTAGCAGAGAAATCACATACCTCTTTAGCACTGAGTCACCAAGGTCAGATTGGCCCTGGAAACAGGCTTGGCCAGGGAAGCTGTTGCGTCATCCATACATGCTCCAGTGGCAGTTTCTTCAAACCTTCCATGTTCGTTGCAAAAGAAAAGGCTAACGTTATACCACATGCCAAAAACTTTGTGTAGCTCTCACGTGCAGCGAATTGCTGCAGTTATGGTTGGCCTGTAAGACGGAGTTCACTGCTAGGAAATTGGCTGGAATGAGTATCTCCACTGTCAAACATGTGGGTGGTATCTAAATATGCCAGATTCCATAGTCACTAAAGTTTTAAACCTGGAGCCAAATTCGCATCCTCAAACACTGCCAGTTTGTGGTGTACGGCACACCTTTGTCTTGCAGAGCACAGCTGACCATTGAACATGCGTTTGAATTGCACAGGTCCAATTATATATGGATTTCTTTCTTTTCAAAAAATAGTTTAAGTGTATTTTTTCTTCTTTAGGATTTTAGTGTTTTCTTTTCCCTAGCTTACTTTATTGCAAGAATACAGTATATAATACATATAATATGCATATAAAATATATTTTAGTCAGTTGTTTATGTTATCGGTAAGGCTTCCAGTCAACAGTAGCCTATTAGTAATTAAACTTGGGGAGAGGGGGAGTCAAAAGTTCAGTGTAGATTTTCAACTGTGCAGGGGCTTGTCACCCCTAACCGCTAGCATTGTTCAAGGGTCATCTGTACACTGGACAATTGATGTTGGGTGACATCCGGAGAGGCCAAGGGAGGCCTCATCCAATCCAGGTTCTTGTCACAGAATAAAAAAAGATTCAAGGGTATGACAGGATTTAGCAAAGCACAGTAAATTTACTAAAGTGATGGAACGCACTGGAGAAGTGAGAGCAGGCAACCTCAGAGAACTGGGTGCCCTGATGGGATCTGTGTGGAAGGTGTTTATTAAACGTGGGCAGTCACCCCCTTCCCAATGCCCGCTGGTGGGGTGACTGCCGATGCCACTCATCCTTGTCTTCTCTCTGGATAGCAATTTATTTTTTTTCGGTCCTTCTGATTATAGGAGCGTGAGGAGGAGGAACAGGTGGTCAGTGAAGACAGCGCCCCTGAAGTCCCAGCTAGGAGAGAGAAGGGGAGGGAGGGAGCTCTAGGCCTTTGTTCTCTAGCCTAACTTTCCTGCCTCAGAACCATGACCAGCCAAGTTTCCCAAGCATTGTTGAGGTCACTTAGCTTGGCTGGGTGGGGTTGTACCATGGATACACCTGGAACCAAATCATGCTAGCTTTAAGCCAGTCAAGCACCTGCAAGTACAAGATTACCATTAAGAGCCAGCCAATATTAGTGACATTTCTTCAGCTTCCTAGAGGCATTTTGAAATTTTAAGTAAAGGTCTATAGCTAGCCTTAGACTCCGTCCTCCAACTTACCAGAGAAGTTCCTGGTCTCTTCGCTCTTCCCATCAAGCATGCTCACATTTACCCGTGTGCCACCGGTTTCCTCTTCAAATTTCTAATAACTAAGTTCATCTTTAATGTATTTCAAAATATTGTCCCTACACAACCGATGAGCATTCCAATGAAAATCTACCTGTTCATTGGACGTGAAGGGGCGCAGAATTTGCTACCCCAAAATATGCCTCTTTGGGAATGTTGATTATTTTAGGTTAATTTTAATCAAGAGCAGACTTGGGAGAAAGCTCTGAAAACCAACTAGAAGCTCCTCTTCGTCAAAGGACATTTATATGTGTAAGGGCGTCTCCCACTGCACAGGCCTGCCCCTTCACCATCAAAGGAGACTTATCCACATACCAATCTTACCAGGGTTTGGGTGCTTTTCCTGGTAACCTCCGGTACTCTCCACCCCCATCTTTTGTCTTCATCGGAGGTTGGTATTTAAGGTGATGGCTTCGGAAATGCCATGTTACTCAATTGTCCTGGGCCTCTCCCTTGTATACAAGAGGTATGTTTTTAAACTTTGTTTTTTCTTCTAACCTCTCATGTTCATTAGATTATTAAAAAGGTAGAGGGTAATTTTTTCTCCCCAAAATGTTTCCTTCTTATACTTTCTTTCCCCACCTGGGTTCGGAACGCTGTTTCCTTTTGTGGGAAATGCTTGGCTTGGGTTATTCCTCTAGAACAGAGCTTGGCAAACTGTGGCCCATGAATACTACCCACCTATTGTTATAGTTTTAATGAACCCTTTTCTTTGCACACTGCCTATGGATGCTTCTGCACTACAACGGCCGAGTTAAACAGCTCCAACTGACTAAAAGATTGACTGTCTGATCTTTTGCAGAAAAAGCTTGCTGACCTTTGACCAAGAACAAGAGTCCTGACATAGTAGTCAGAAAGACATGAGTGGAGTGGGAATGATAACCCAGGTAAGGAAGGTCACCAGGATGGAAAACCCCTGGTACTTAGCAATGGGCAGAACAGAGAGGACAAGCATTGTAGGGTGGGACCTCGCTCCCAGGGTGACATTTCCTTCCCTAGCATCTTGCTGGTCACGTGGTTTAGACCCCCTGATCTTTCATATTGTTGGTCATGCAGTTCAGACCCTTCCCTAACCTTTCCTCCCCTCGCATGTCACCAGTCATGCACCAGAGCCCCTTAGAGGAGAAACAAGGGGGCCGAAGAAAAGCCTCAGACACTTCCCATCCAAGCCCTTGCATAGCCACTCCCTTCAGCATTAAGCACTCAAGGCAATGAGGTTCGGGCCCATATCAAACAATCTCAGGAGCAAAGCTTCAGGTCTATTGACCATATGGAGACAGTTTTGGTCAAACTAGAGATAACATCTAAGCCTCAGTTCTGTTTCAGCTCCAGGCCCAGAAAAGCATGTAGGTCATGGGGGGGGGGGGGGGGCGGGCTGGGAGAGGAGGTGAAGGGGGGCGACACCATGGCTGAATCAAGACCAGCTGCAATGACTAATGATCCCCTACACGAGCACCGACCCATCAGTAGAGACCACAACACTAGAAGGACACACCTGGAACTTTGATGAATATTCTATTGAGAGCCTCCCCTGAAATTTCCCCTAAAGTCCCCCAATTTGGAAAACAGATAAAATCCCTGAAGACAAACTATCCAGTGCGCTCCTTCGTTTGCTCCACCCCCTCTCAAGCCCACACCTAGCTTTCCCTTTCTTCCCTCAAGGCACACCTAGCTTTCCCTTTCTTCCCTTTGCTTTCTTTATACTAAGCAATCAGTGCCCTTCTTCTGCCTCTGTAACTGGTTTCCTGAGCTTACGTAGCCCCAGCTGGCTCACTTCTTCTATGGCTCACTTCTTCTACCTCTGTGACTTTCTAAATAAACGTTTGCTTGTATGTGAGACTTGGCTCTGAATTCTTTCTTAGCCAAACTTAAGGACCAAGGTCTAACATCGGGTGCTGTTCAGCATCAACAGTTCCAGAAGACACATTGCATTGGCTCAACAACAACAATCTTACTATCTTAACAAAACAGAGCTTTCCTGAACTCTTGCAAAGGACTAATTCCTCCGGAGTCGGCCTAGCCCCATGGTCGGCAAACTGCGGCTCTCGAGCCACATGCGGCTCTTTGGCCCCTTGAGTGTGGCTCTTCCTAAGCCTTAGGAGTCCCCTAATTAAGTTAATAACAATGTATCTACGTATATAGTTTAAGTTTAAAAAAGTTGGCTCTCAAAAGAAATTTCAATCGTTGTACTGTTGATATTTGGCTCTGTTGACTAATGAGTTTGCCAACCACTGGCCTAGCCAGTTGTCAGGATGCAGAAAGAACTGAGAGAGGGAAGTCAGAGAGACCACTCTGACCAGGCGAGGACTGGAAGGAGGCCCTGTGGGCAAGAGACAAAGCAACCCTGCCAGGAGGGTCCTTGTGCATTCTCGCAGCAAACAGGCTGTCCCCCTCTTTCCTCATCCACTCTCTCCCTTACTGTGACACAGTAAAAGCTGCTCAGTTCCTAGTCACCGCTAATGAAAGAACAGTATGAATATAAATGACTGTGGCAATGTTTTAGATTTAAGACTTTTATTTTTTTCACCACCTGGGCAGATGAAGCTCAATGCTACCTCTGGAGCCCCCAAGTCCTTTACCCTTCACAATATGTAAATGTTCTTAGAAAGTGCCTACGCTTTGGTGTCTGACTTGTAATGGGTCAGAGTGCGTGCAGAAGGGTCGGTGGCGTTAATCCACCTGGGCATCCAGTAGTGGGTCAGCCAGTCAGCCCGGCCTGGGTAGTGGCGTTCAAAGATTTGACGGTAGTAGTAGCCTTCTTTCGTTTTAGGAGTGTTGAAGGGAAACTTCTGGGCTGCCGCTGCCATCATTGCATCATCAACCTGTAAGAATGAGTGTATAAAACCAGAATGGTATTTTTTTTAAATGGCATAGAAATACATGTATTTAATCTAGCTTCATAAAACCAAAAGAGAAAAGATAGATTTGAAAAGGCTTGACTGTAAATACAGCCGGAGACCTTCTGCATCACCCATCATTTAGAAAGTGTTAAAGACCACAAAATGCACAGCTATGGAACTTTTAAAGAACATTGGTTAAGTCTCTTCTCTCTTAACATGAGATGCTACTTTATAATCCTACGTGCTAGTTAATTCTTAAAAAAGAGGAAGCCTCTCCTACAGATACAAAACATTGAAACTAAGCACAAAATAAACTCTATACCCAAATTGTCCTATTCCAGAAAATACTTTTAAAAGCATCATACCTGATGCTCAATATGTTCCTGTAAAATCCTAAACCAGGAATTCTTAACGGAGGTTATGCCATCACTGAAGGCTTCTTTCGGTCGCCAGAGAATCTCTTTCGGTAGCAGATTGGAGTCCTCAAATGTCTCTCTCAGGAGATGTTTTTCTATCCCGTTCTGAAGACAAAAGGAGCATCAGGAAAAGCTACAGATACAACCAACACCAATGGCCAGTTTTTATCCTGAACCGATGCACCTACCTTGGGGATTCTCATATCAGGCGGCAGAGACAAGTAATAGGAACAAAACCGATGGTCCAGGAATGGGACCCTCAATTCCAGGCTTAAAGGGGAAGAGAAGAGATCCAAATCAAGATGGGTATTTAGCGCCTGTCCATTTAGATCATGGCTTAGAGTTTCCTAGCAATTCAACCAGCCTCTAAGTATTGTTAAGATTATAATGTCATTTTTTTCAATCCTCCGAACTGATAGCCCTGTAAGAATCCATGAATACAGATGTACTACCTCAAATAGGGAGTGAAATAAGCAGTTTGAGAAAAATTACTTTTACTTTCCCTTCTGGGAACAAGTGAACACCTATCTCAAAAAGCAGAGAAAGAATCACGAGTGGCATGGATGATTAAGAACGTCCTTTGCCTTGGCCTTTCAAACTCAAAGATTTTTCTGGGTGGGACCATCTTTTGTCCTATTAAAAGCTGTAATGATAATTCAAAATTTTTTGCTCGACTGATTGAAAATTTACATATAAGATTCAGTATAAACCAATGTTCTGGTTCCCTCACAGGGGCATCATTTGCATCCTGAATCCTGGTGACTAAATTAGGACAAGGGATAGGACCATAACCACGGATTCCGTTCACTGCCACCCCCATAATTTATTACTCTGTAATCTAAGCGTGGTTGGTGGAAGCAACAGAAACATTTAATGTTGGTTATTTATCATGTATAACAAGTATCTTCAACTCTCCAACATGGCCAGCTAAAAAGTGAAACTTTATAACATATACTTATCTAATCCTCACTCGGGGACATGCTTTTACTGATTTTAGAGAGGGAGGAAAGGGGAGAGACATCTATGTGAGAGAGAAACATCTATCAGTAACCTCCTGCATGCACCCCAACAGGAGATCGAACCCGCAACCTAGGTATGTGCCCTGACCGGGAATCGAACCTGAAACCTTTTGGTGTACAGAATGATGCTCCAACCAACTGAGCCAACCAACCAGGACAAAATGAAAACTTTAGCCAACAGAAATGATGCCATAGAAACCTGGTTTTATAATTTTATCAAACCTCTCGCATCTTCTTATCCCTACGCAGGATCACACAGCATCAAGCAGGCAGGTGCTCAGCACCTGTGACAAGGAGGTCACTTCCCTTCGAGACTTAAAAAGAGCTGCAACTGCCTTCCCTCGCAGTTGTTCAGATATGAGCGAAATGCTGTTATGCTGTGAAGGTGGAAACTTGGTCTAGAACCACCTGTGAAAGTCCTCTCCCATTCCCACAGCAGCACTTTGAATTTAGCCTAATTTCTTTGGGGCTAAGAGACAAGCTTCATTTTCTCTATAAAAGTCATACTCGACAACGTATAACCAATTGGAAAGAAAAAAAAAAGTCGGCCACTGCACTTTCGGTGCTTGAGGTTAATTGTTACCATCGCCTCTCAAAACACTGAGTTACCCGTGGGCAGCAGTGGTTCGATCTGCGCGGAGGACATCGAACAGATAGAGCTCCTTCAGCAGCCTCTCGCTCTCCTCCTGGGCCTGTTCCGGAGAAGGAGCCTAGCGACCAACAAACAGCCGACAGTCAGAAATACACAGGCAGATGTGCTTTGAGCAAATAGAAGTTTTTGCTTCTTACTCTTACACATACTCCAACTCTAAAGGTGGGTGAGGCAAAAAGCCACAGAGTTTAGGGAAGGGAGGGATGCTGTATAAAATATGTCTTCCCTCACACCAAAGAACAAATACAATGGACACACTGTGCAAGAACCATAATATCACAGGGGATTAAGGGACATGATTCCCATGCTTGAAGAATAGAGATTATCGACATTATTAAGACTTCTTTCTCCCTCCAAGAAAACACAAAGCAGACAGTCTCAGATTTCCTCATATACCTCCCAAGGTACTCAGAAGTGTTACTGCTATACTGAAAATAGTGACATAATTCATACTTCCCCTTTTTTTCATTTTTCATGCTTTTCTTAATCTAACACCAATATCCTTCCATTTCTGAATGCTTACCTTGTGAAAATATATGTAACCCTGCGTAAGTTCATCTGAGCCTTCTCCAGAGAAGATCACTACACTATCTGTGTTCTTCCGAATGTACTTGGAAATTAAGTACATACCTTAAAGAAGAGACAGAAATTACTATTAATGTCGACATAACTCTTCACCAAAAATGTCTTTTATTTTTAAATGGTTTTTGGAAACAACTACAAGTTTTGTTCTTAGATTAGACTCTTATCATTTTTTGTATGGTGATACTGGTATGAAACGTATGAAATTTTTAAGATATTTGCATCATTGTCCAATTTAGCAAAATTTTAAGGTGGACATTCTTGGTCTAAAAGCATTAACATTTTAAAACCTATATATGAAATTGTGGAATGGTTTTGGGCTATTGCACTGCAAAAGCACGAGTTTTAGATTAAGTATACAAAAAATAGTAAGAGAGTTAAGGTTTTGGTAGTTTGGTTTTAATTTTTTTTAATACTATCCATCCACCAATTTTCACATATAGTTAAAGATACTACATAAGTTATTAAAAGATGCCCATTGGTTCCTGCTCCACATCCCTGTAAGCCAGTATTTGTTCTTAACGCTTCCCTAGGCAGACTTTTTAGACATTTTTACTAATTGCTTCCGCCCCAATGAAATATTAACACCAGATATACTATATATAAAGTATATATACTCAAAGTGTTATCAGATTCTGAGTCTCTTAAAAGAGGCATATCTAAGCCAGTACATATTAGAGGCTCAACAACATTGGATCAGTCTGATATTGGAATGTATCCACCAGATAAAACTAGTATTGCCTGTTACTGATTGATAAGTTGTATGATAATTTATCAGAATATATCTAAAATGAGTACTTCTTACAGAAAATTAGTTACCGCCCAGACCTATTTCCCTATATAGCCCAAGAAACATTATACAGAGAAATTGGGGGAAGAGGTTGCAGAACATATATATCTACTTTTTAGAGAAATATCAACAGTGATACTATAAATGTGGAAGTTTCACTACATATTTGTTGTCCCTCTCACTCCAAGAAATTCAGGGAATTCTTAAATGATCTTGTCTTAGATACTTGGTGACTATTTACATTTATTCTGGAGTATGCTTTTTAAACTGTTGCTTGAAATAATATTCTTACAACTTATAGTTTTTCAGAATTAAAAGCCTTTTTGATATAAAATACCTTACCCACTGAAGCGCGAACTGTTGTAATGTCATAAGTTTCCAAGGAAAATATGACTTCATCCAGGGCCTGAATACCTTCCTCAGAGTTAAAGAGGACTTCATGGTGTTCACTCCCAATATGATTTGCCACCTGATTATATAAAGAAATACCCACACACTTGTTATTTAAAGAAAAGAACTGCCCTTGGAAATGAAACTTGACTCTATTTCACAATGTCTTATGAACTAACAATAGTGGAAAACTAGGCAAAATAAGGGGAAATGGTTCAGTAGGCCCCTACAATATGGGGACATGACTCTCCAGGCCACCACATAGAAGTCCCACCTAGTCAAGTTCCCTTGCCTGCCCCCAGTCCCTCCCCTCCACTCAACCACCAAGAGGTAGAACTCCCATCAGCCTTTCACTGCAAGACTTCAACCTAACAGTAAGAGGCTTCCATTTAGCATACTACCCCACCCCCAAAACACACATCTACTTTACCTAACCTACCTCATCTCTCTCTAGTCCAGCATGGTCTTGCTCTAACCTTGGCCATCTTTCCACCCTCCTGCAATGCCTCATTTTATACCTGGGATATTATGCCTAAATGCAATGGCCCCTCCCCTTATAATATTTTCTTTGCCTATTTTGGATCCTTTCATCTTTAATCAACTTGCTTTGGGACTGCTCTCTAGCTCTTTATCATCATTCTATGTCAGTTTTTCCAGATTAGGAATGAAGTCTCCTGCACACTGAATGTGTACTACATCACCTTTTCCCATAGTCCTAAACATACTGCTTCATAAAAACAAACAAAAAACTCAAGCCCTGGCTAGTGTGGCTTAATTGATTGGGTGTCATATCATGCACCAAAAGATTGCTGGTTTGATTCCCAGTCACGGCACATGCCCAGATTGTAGGTTTAATCCCCAGTAGGGGGCTTGCAGGAGGCAGCCAATCAATATTCTGTTCTCACATCAATGTTTCTCTCTCTCTCTCACTCTCTCCCTCCCCCCCCCCCTTTCCTCTAAGAATCAATCTTTTAAAATCTTAAAAAAATAAAATAACAGCTAACATTCACCAAGTACTTACTACATGCTAGGCTCTACCCTGTGCACTTTTTGTGAATTATATAATTTTCACCTCAATACTATTCTGTAGTAGATACTATTACTTCCTCATAAGTGAGGAACTGCAAGGTGGAGCTAGGATTTGAAATGAGCCATCAGGCTCCTAAGCCCGAAGGCCTAACCACTTTTGAAATGAGAATGATTGTCATAGGGTTTTTATGAGAACTCCATTGACCACAGTAGATAAAAGTACCCAGAATACAGTGTACAACATAGTTGAAACCGGCATTTCATTACATTTTAACACAGTTCATGTTAAAACAATTACCAGAGTCAATATAGCAGAAGTACAGAATCATCATTACTGGCTTTATTTTCATCCTAGTAACAGGCAGAGATGATGTCTTACCTTTCTGGCAGCTAGTAAATCAGGACTGTCTTCCATGCCAATGGCGAATGTCTGGAAAGGGTACTGGACTTGGGCTTCCTTTAGCTGCCTCATCAGGGTGGCAGCAACCAAACTGGAATCCAAGCCCCCTACGAGCAAGACGACAGGTGTACTGGTCATGTGCTGTGCACAGACTGGGACAGATGACCTGCGTTCATATTAAGCACCAAGACTGGAGTTTTATCATTTTAAATCCCCAACTTTTATAAACTGAAAGTCAACTTTAATAAGAGAAAAATCTAACATAGCCAGTGATCATGGTTAACGGCATTTGAATGGGTTCAACAATCACTACACACAACTCTAAAAAATGTTTACTCACTCATCCCAACAATAATTATAGTGTAACTTTAACTTGCTAAATTACCATAAATATGAAATGCAGCTTAGAGAAAACTATTTCATCCTATAATGGAGAAAAGATTAAGTCATAAAGTAAATATTTTATGGGCAAAACCTCAGGGATAGCTACAAATCCTTTAACTTAAACAAATACATATTAAATATAACTAGTTGTTTTTTTAACGGTCTTCACCTGATAGAAGACAGCCAATCCTTCTGTCTGTCATCAAACGTTTCCTAATGGCATTGTCAAAAAGGATGCGGAGGTTGCTCTTCACGGTTTCTATCTCAAAACCTGTGAATACATGAAGTAGGTGAAACAGCGCCAGACATGCTCGGGCTGAGTTCCTTGCTGCGAAGAGGGATAGAATCATTAACATCTATCCTCACGGCATTTGCTCAACAGTGGAGTTTGTCAGATCCCACTGTGCCACCTCCAAATTAAATAGGAAACAGATCATCAATAGGAAATCATTCCAATGATGCGTGAGTCTAATCCTCCTTTGGGAGAGAGGTGGGGAATGGGTAAGTGGGCATTTGCTTTATTACCTGGGGATAGCTTCTCGACGCTGTCATAGAGGGCGTGTAGAGGCTCATCTCTGCAGTGATGATATTTGACCATTTCCACTGATGCAACTTTGCCATTTGGCTTTAAATCCAAAACCTCATAGTGTCCTGGGAGAAAAGGCTCCACTTTTAAAAAAGGAGCTGTGGAGTGCTTCAAGTTAACAAGACCTACGAATTCAAAAAGATAACTTTATTCGAATGAGCACACTTCACAGTAACTTTCATGATCAGTTAATATCCTTTAAATTCCTATTTGTTTTCCCTTTTTAATACAAATGCATATCCACTGCAGGAGCAAAATAAAAGGAGTTTTTGGTAAGTCATTCTAAAAGCAATGAGAAAGAGAAACTGTTGCAGTACCCTGGCTGAGATCATTCGGTCTGGAAAAGGGCAGTGTTATGAAGGATGCAAAATGTGAGTCAAGAAATTTCAAGGGGTAAATTGAATTTAAAGTTATAATTCTATATCATATCAAGTTATCAGGCCCAAAGGAGACACAGGGGAGGTCTTCTTTTCCCTGTGTTCTCCCTACAGGGGTTTCCTAATAGTGCTTAACAGGTATACTTCTTTTGTGCCATTTGAAATGCCTGCAAATAGACCAATTCAGACATCTCTTAGTACCCACACTGTGACTGGTATTCTAAGGACCCTTTTATTGATCTCATTATTCTTGCTTCAACCAATATTAAATCTAGAAAATAAGTGAGAAAAGACTTGAAATAAAGCAAAAAGAGACATGCAGGTAGACCAGATTTTAGGATGCTACCACTGTCTAGGTAAGAGATAAAAGATGAATGTTGCCCTGGCTGGTGTGGCTAAAAGGTTAGAGCATTGGCCCTAAGACCCAAGGGTCTTGGGTTCGATTCCTGGTCAAAGGCACGTACTTTGGTTGCAGTTTCCCCAGCCCTGGTGGGGGTGCTTGCAGGAGGTAACCAATTGATGTGTCTCTCTCATGTTGATGTTTCTCTCTCTCTCTCCCCCTCCTCCCTCCCTTCCATTCTCTCCAGAAATCAATGGCAAAAAATAACCTCATTTTTGCATATTGATCATGTATTCTGTAACCTTGATGAACATAATGGAAAGAATATACAGGGTGGGGCAAAAGTAGGTTTACAGTTGTTCATATGGAAAATAATATAATAATTAATAAAGAATAATACAAGAATAAACTGTTTCATGTACTCATAACTGTAAACCTACTTTAGCCCCACCCTGTATGGGAACTCTACTTTCTGTTCAATTTTCCTGAAATGTAAAAATGCTCTAAAAAGCAGTCTGTTAATTTTTTTAAAATATTAAAAAATCAAATGATCCTCAGCAGGAAAAAAGGATCAAAGAACTAAACAGACATTTCTCTAACGAAGATATACAAATGGCACACAGACAAGAAAAAATGCTCAACATCCCTGTCCACAGGAGAATGCCAATTGAAAGGACAATGAAGTGGTACTTCCTATGTAGCAGGATGGCTAGAATCAAAAAGTTAGGGAAAAAGTCTGTGAGGATGTGGAGAAATTGAAACCCTCATATACTGCTGATGGAGATATAACCCTCATATACTGCACAGCCACTTTGAAAAACAGTCTGGCAATTCCTCCAACAATTAAACACAGAGTTACCACATGACCCAGCAAGCCCACCCTAGGGATATGCCCAAGAGAAATGAAAACATATGTCCATGCAAAAACTTGCAGACAAATATTTATAGTAGCATTATTCAAAATAGCCAAAAGGGAGAAACAACCCACATGTCTACCCACTGGCAAATGGATAAACAAAATGTGGTATATCCATGTAACAGAATATCTTTTGGCTGTAAAAAGTAAGTACAATACATGCTACAAGACAAACAAATCTTGAAAACATTATGCAAGTGAAAGAAGCCCATCACAAAAGACCACATGACTTGATCCCGTTCATATGAAATGTCTCCAGAGAGGTTCAACAATTGATGGATATAGAGGGATGGGGAGTGACAATTAAAGAGTACAGGGTTTCTTTTTTAGGTGGTGAAAAATTTTCTAAAATTCACAGGAGTTTTAGTAGCAGATATCTGTGAATATACTAAAAACCGCTGAATTATATACGTTAAATGGGTGAATTGTAAGGTATGTGAATTATCAATAAAGCTGTTTTCAGAATGCTAAATAAAAATTTGCTATAGCTATGACCTGGTTCCACAGTACAACAACTGCAGGACCAAACCTAATATTATAATACCAGAGGCCCAGTGCACGCATTCATGCACCAGTGGGGCCCCTAGTCATGGCCTGTGGGGATTGGGCCGAAACCGGCAGTCCAATGCCACCTGCTGCTCCTGCCTGCCGTTCCCGCTCATCTTGGCCCCACTGCGCCTGCCATGGGCTTGTGCCCAGTCAGTCCCGATCAGGAGAGGCTCGCGCCTTCACAGCTGCGCTCACCAGCCATAAGCCCTGTGTCTGGCGCCCATCGGTCAGCTGAGCAGCGCTCCCGCTGTGGGAGCCCATTGACCACCAGGGAGCAGCTCCTACATTGAGCGTCTGCCTCCTGATGGTCAGTGTGCATCATAGCGACCAGTCATTAGGTCGTTTAGGCTTTTATATATGTAGATAGATGATAGAGGTAAACTTGCCAAAACATATGGGATCAAACTATATGCAAAGCATATCAGCACAACAAAAATTAAATGAATTTACTACATAGATTTATACTTCAAGGATTACGGAATTTAAGTGCTAAAAGGAGAATCCAACTACTTGGTTTAAAAAACACAAAGCCAGAGGGTCCGTGACTTACTTAGTCAATTGTAAAATTCTGGATTGCCCCCTATGGGAGTTGTAAACATGACCTGGGGGGGGGGGGGGGGACATAAAATCCAGGATAATAATGAAAATCTGTAGAAAAAAACATATTACCTTTAGCTTCTGAACACACAGCCAAAAATCCATCTTCTGTCATGGCTCTAAACAACGGTCTGACTCCATAGGTATCTCTGCCCAGGAACACCTTCTTATTCGCTGTATCCAGTAAAATAAACGCAAATACCCCATCCAACAGACTAGCAGTTTGCTCAATTCCTCCTTTGTTATAAAGATGAAGGATTATCTCACCATCCACTTTGGTTTGATATTCAAATGCAAAATGGTGTTGCAGCTTAAGGAAGCAATAGCAAAATTAAAGTGTTAGAATCCTTGCATTCACTAATAATTTTATTTATTTATTTATTTATTTATTTATTTATTTATTTATTAGAGGCCCAGCGCACGAAATTCATGTGTGGGTATGGCCTGGCCTGGCCTGCGATCAGGGCCATCTTCCCTGGCTGTCCGCAGCCGGCTCCAGCCCCCGCCACCACCCACCCTGGTTCCCCATTCGCCATTGGTGATCAGAACCTGCCAGCCAAGGAAAAGAATCAAGAGGTGGTCAGTGCACCTCATAGTGACTGGTCAAGCAGTCATTCTGGTCATTTTACCATTAGGGTCAATTTGCATATTACCCTTTTATTATATAGGCTTTTTTCTTTAGTGATTAAGGTTTTACATATGTGTCCTTATCCCCCATTGCCTCCTCTCCCCTCTCTCATGCCCTCACCCCCCTGGTGTCTGTGTCCATTGGTTAGGCTTATATGCATGCATACAAGTCCTCTGGTTGATCTCACTAATAATTTTTTACTGCCAAGTTCTTTCAATATTTCTACGCTCAATAATCATTTCATGCACTTGAGTGGTTTAGAAGAATCATGGCATTCTGTGAAAACTTTAGTTGCATTCTCATAAACAGAATGTGGAGATAATGCACCAGAACAGCAATGCATGGAGGTATGGAGGGGGTGGGCAAAAGTAGGTTTATCGTTGTTTGTATGGCAAATAATACAATGATTAATACATAATACAAGAACAAACTCTGTTTCGCATACTCACAACTGCAGACCCACTTTTGCCCACCCCTGTATATATGTAAGTTAAGCAAATGGGTTGCCCAGTTGCCATGACCCTAAAAGTGTAACTTCTACTATTGTGAAATTTTGATTTCAGAATATAGTACTGACTGAGTTTCTTCTAGGTCAGCCTAAAAGACCCACCTATGAAAATAGAAAGCAAAAGCACAAACATATTTGGCACTATTCCCCGGCAAATAAATGATTCCGTCACAATAATAGAGACACGTGGTCTAAAACAAAGCTGCAGGTCCCTGGGGAGGACATCCAGTCCTCCCCTCTGCAGTGGAAGTACAGGGACTTCTCACAGATGGACAGAATGACAGTGAAGCTGATCAGAGCACATGATCCAAAGGAGCAAAGGGACAGTCACTATCACTGCAGAGTCAGGGAGTTTATGTTCCCAAGCCCTGAGGATCTCCATCATCACTGGCAAACCGTACTTAATTCATGATTTCTGGCTGACAAGGGAGAGAAAAAGGTTCCTATAAAATCAGGTGGAAATTTTTAGATAAGTTTAAACATTTAAAACACGTTTTTAATTTTCAAAAAGTAAGTCTACCCTGACTGGTGTGGCTTGGTGGTTAAGCGTCGACCTGTGAACCAGGTGCACGGTCAGGGCACATGCTCAGTTTGCAGGCTCGATCCCCAGTGTGAAGTGTACAGGATGTAGTTTTTCAATGATTCTCTCTCATCACTGATGTTTCTATCTCTCTCTCCCTTCCTCTCTGAAATCAATAAAAATATATATATTTTTTAAAATTTACATGTTTGTATACATACAGCCTATGAAACATGCTTCATATAAACTTGTGGACCTTCTGTCTCTAAGCCCTCACAGAACAAAGCCCAAAAATGGGGGTTGGCCGCCTCCAGTGTCTACAAAGCCACCTCCTGGTTGCCTCTCCCTGCTCTAAGAGACCATCAGAGATGATCTGTCACTGGCAGGTGAGGTGTGGGAACGGTCTTCTGCTGACCCTTCTGGACTTAAGTACCTGAGGGATAAGTGACCCTAAAGTATCCAATGATTTTAGCAAGCAGCAGCTTCCCAAACTTTCCCTCTACTACCATGTCATCACTGCTCTTGGGCGTAAGCTTTGCAGGTAATTTATGGGTTAATAATTCACAGGTACCACCTCCTGCTCTGCTGAGAGAGAAGCTCCCATATCTTGCTACCATCTGGAAATCACAGTGCCCTTGGACTTGGCTGCAAGGCCCTGCTGCTCCCGGCAGGGAGAGGGCCTCCTCTATGCCCCAGCCTTTACTCAGATTCCTCCTCTCCTTGCCTTATTCTCCTCCCACTCCCCATACACCTCAGGCTGCATTTTAGTGGTAGTAGTAAATTTTATTTTCATCAACAACAGGAGGGCTTTGGAGCTTCTGTTGCAGAATATTTTACAAGAGCCTAAAATGTCCATTCTTTAGACAGATTTCTACTCACACTGGATTACCACAGATGACAGACAGAAGCAATGGAACCTCTCTGCTTTTGACAATACAACATACTTTGCTGATTTACAATAGAAATATTTTTAAAATACTTAACTTTTTATAACTATTAACAAAACACACAAAAGAAGCAATGCTGTTCAAGTAAAGAAGGAATTTCCTGTCTTGTTTAAGGTGAAAGTCAGGCTAATGGAACCATAATACAACCTAGCACTCTTGTGTATTTGGCACTAATCTGGCTTAGTAAGAACGGAGTTTTAATAGCTCCCCTCCTGGACTCCACTAGCATGAAACTCCATTCTTACCTTCCCTGTTCACCATTTTGTCTTCAAACACCTAGACAAATGATGCCTGATGTATATATTCTAGGCCCTTAATAAATGTGAAAAGCATTTGATGGATAACTATAAAAACTTTTCAAATGAGAAGTCTGTAATGGAGTATTCCTATAAGCAGACAACAAACAATGGCAAAAGCTACGGTTTAGAGATAAAAACTAAAAGTCCAAAGGGTGGTTAGAATATAAAACCCTACCCATGAATAGGTGTGTATCAAGAAGGCTCAAAAAATACCCAGAGATATGAACCTTGAATGAAATCTGGCTCAAAACCAATAAACAAACTAACAATAAAAAAACCCAGCCATAAACATATTCCTGGGAAACTTAGGGAAATATGAACTAGATATTAGAAGGTATTATGGATTCTTAGTTTTTTGTTTTTTTAAAAAATATATTTTATTGATTTTTTACAGAGAGGAAGGGAGAGGGATAGAGAGTTAGAAACATCGATGAGAGAGAAACATCGATCAGCTGCTTCCTGCACACTCCCTACTGGGTATGTGCCTGAAACCCAGGTACATGCCCTTGACTGGAATCAAACCTGGGACCCTTCAGTCCGCAGGCCGACGCTCTATCCACTGAGCCAAACTGGTTAGGGCTGGATGCTTAGTTTTAATAACAGTATTGGTATTAGGTTGGAGAATGTCCTTATTCTTAAGAGATATATTCTTCCATTTTAGAAGTCATAGTATGTGTAATATACTCTAAATACAACAAAAAATAAATGTATATGTGTATAAATATAGAGAAACAGAGATAAGGCAAATATGGCAAAACATTAGCAGTTATTCAATTGGTTTTCATTGTTCTGTTCCTTTTAAAATTAAAAGTTGGAAAGAAGGATGACAAAAAACCCTGCAAATTTTAGATTTAAAATTTTCTTATGAAACATTAGCCAAATAATTCCACATTGGAAGGTTCTTAGTAAGTTTACCGTAGCTTCCTCAGGTCAGAATTTCCATCCCCTCACCCATTCTCATCCTAAGAGTAAACTTTTACCAGATTATAAAGCTGTTCCAATTTTAATGCTGCTAAAAGTCCTACTTCTTGCATTTAATTGCATCTGGCCACCTTTCTGTCCTTTGTTCTGATTAAGTGGAAGAATGCAGTCACCATAAATATCTTAAGGACAACATTATAGAAAAACTACAAATATGATCACCTCCAAACTATTAAATCTCAAATCTCTGTGCTCTTAGAATGATATTCCAACTCCATACTATACCAAGTCCTACTTGATCTGGTCCTGCCTGCCTTCCCAACCCTAACTTGTTTTCTTAAGACAATCTGAGGACTGCTTCCCGCCTCAGGGCTTCTACACCTGCCAGTCCCTCTACAGGAAATGCTCTTCCCAGTGCTGGCTGATGCTTGTCTATTGCCTCTCAGTTCCAGTGTCAATTTCTCAAGAGACCCCCTCTGACTACCCTTCCCAAAACTGGATCTCCCATACCCACCAGCTCCATATTCATGTTGTCAGGATGATGTTATATGTACAATGACTTTTTTTGTCTGATCCCTAAATAGAATAAGCTTCTTTACAGTGCAGACCTACCTCTCTTATTTACTACTGAATCCCCAGCACCTACCACCAAGCCTAGCACAGGCTCTAATTAACCTTTAAATTCATGATGGGGGGGTGAGGGGGAGGACACTAAGAGTTAAAGAACCTGAATTGTAATTCCCATTTTATCTTTTATCTTTTTTTGTGTGACCAAGTCACTTCACCCTTTTGCTCATCAGTGCCCTGTCTATATAACTGGAACAAATGAGATCATGAACATGGAAAGTGCTCTGAAAAGTAAAAACCATTTTATAAGATATGTAAAAATGATTATACCCAATGAGCTCTAAGGCTTAATCACATCAAGATATCCTCTGGTTTCATTTTGTTTACCTTCCGGTGGTTGTAGATTTCTCCGTTGTAACATAGCCACAAATAAGGATATTTCTTTACTCGAATTGGCTGCATTCCAAACAGCTGGTCAACCACCGCCAACCGGTGAAATCCAAAGCAGCAGTTGGTATATCCGTTGACATTCTCAAAGCGAAATGCATCCGGACCCCTGTGTGCAATCTTCATCGCACTCAGGCACTGAACAGAAAGGCAGTCATCGCTGCCAAAGAGGGCCCAAATGCCACACATGGTGCAGTGAAGCGACGTGTTCTCTATGGAGGGAAAAGCAGACCCGTTAAAGACTCAGTCTCCAATCCGAGTTTGTATTAAATCTTGATTCCAAAAACTTGCATAAAACATTTCAAAGACTGAAATATAAACTATCTTATCTACTGCATAGGATGGCAGGCCAACAGGAGTAGAAAATAACTTAATTTACTTACAAGTATTCAGGAAAGATGGGTGGCCTTTTTGTCCAGCCAGCTACAGCGGCTTAGCACCCGAAGCCTGCATCTCTCTCACCTTGGGATTTGGTCGGCTAGAGCTGGCAGTGTTCAGGCCACATTCTATTCTGCATGCGAGGTTCACTCCCAAAATACAGATGACATGTAGGCTGGCTTCTGCCCAGAGACCCCACCCTACTCTCTCCAGCCCAGAATCTCAAACGCCCTCAAAAGTCCATGAGACTCTCTAGATTACTACAGTATCCTCAGGGGTCTCCTAGACAATTAAATGTACTCTCTTTACCTGTACTAACCGCACATAGAAGATAGCAGGTAGAATGGAAGATGATACATGCTGCTAAAGTGTAATATGAAGATATACAGCTGTTATAAGCGTTTCACAACTTCTAGTTTACCACTAAGTGATTTATTCAAATGTGATAAAAGAAATTATAAAGAGAAAAGGAAAGCAATATTATCTGATACAGATATTCTGGCTTTATAAAAACAACAAAAATTACATTGGCAGAAATACACAATGTTCACCATCAAATTGCCCTAAAGGATGTTCTCAAATATTTTTGTCTCAAAACTGCTCTGGTCAGTAAAAAAGCAGAGTAGATAGGCCATAGACAGTGATGACATCTCTGAAAAACAGCTGGGTTCATCCCGTAGGCCAATAAGTAAATTGATAATTCCTACAAATGTTAATTATCTGGCAATTTCAAATTTTCAACTGTGAAATAAAGGGCTGTTTTATTTGGATGCTGCCAGCTCAAAACAGTTACTTTATCAAAATAGTAATTTGGAAATGACTGATTTTGGTATTTTTTAAAAATGTAAATTTGCAGCAAATGCCTAGATAATTTGGGTCAAAGATCATAAAGAAAAAATATATACTTATGTTATATCAATCATTTTGAGCAATCTTCTAAGGGTATTTCATTTGTATCTAAATGAACCTCAGAGCTTCATTTGGCCTCTTAATGAGACTAGAACAAATTAATTGATTATGGTATTAACACAAGCAACTGGGAAATACAGTATATGTCTTATGCCAGTCCCTTCCACACACTGGGCCAAATACCCAACAATGTGATTTAGTGGGAAAATTCACTGAGATTTAAGTATGACTACTGATAATTCACCTACTTTTCACTCCATATATATATATATATATATATATATATATACACACACACACACACACACACACACACACACACACAATGGAATGTTACTAAGCCATAAAAAAGTTCGTCATCTACAACGAATTATATGGACCTTGAGGTTATAATGCTAAGTGAAATAATTCAAAAGAAGATAAACACTATATGATTTAACTTATACATGGAATCTAAAAAATAAAACAAAAACTCATAGATATAGAGAACAACAAATCAGTGACTACCAAAGGAGAAGGGGGTTGGAGGATTGGCAAAAGGTGCGAAGGGGGTCAATTGTGTGGCAATGGATAATAACTAGACTTTTGGTAGTGATCATTTTGTAGTGTACACAGCTATCAAATTACAATGCTGTACAACTGAAACTTACATTTTACAAAAAGTGGGCTGGAAAAATGCTTTGAAAATCACATGAGGTCATTAGCCAATCACTTATTTACCTAGGTCCTACTAATGTTGCTTAGAGAATCCCATTATTAAGCCTGCTAAAGATAAATACTAACCACTAACTTGGAAGGGAAAAAGGGGGTCCAAGTTTGTGAAGCACATTTACTTCTCCAGCAGAAAAAAAGCAGATTAAAACCATCACCTATTGTATTTATTGGAATCAGTCTCATTAGAGGGCAAAGGTCCTACTGCTGTTACTTGTTCCTGGTAATTATCCATATTTCCTCATAAACTTCTAGATCAGTGCTGTCCAACACAAATAGCCACATATGTAACTTTAAATATACTAGTAGCACCATTAAAAAAAAGAGAGAAAATGTGAAGTTAACAATAAATATATTTTATTTAGCACATTTTACCAAAAATAGAATCATTTAAACATTTAATCAGTATTAACAATTATCGAGGAGGCATTTCTCAATTGGAACTAGCACATCTCAACTGGGACTAGCCAGCATTTCAAGTTCTCAATACAGTCACATATGGCTAGTCCCTGCAGAATTGGATAGTGGTTTTGGTGCGTTACACTCTAATTACCAACTACTTAAACTTCATGTCACTTTATTTTTACATTAAGATCTGAGCAGCCAACTCCTGGTCAGGTTCAAGACAAGTTGTTGCTTCTTCTTTTTTTTTTTAATTCTCACCCAAGGATATTTTTCCCATTGATCTTTAGAGCGTGAGAGTGGGAGGGAAGGAGAGAAGAGGGGAAGAGAGAGACATACACATGGACTGGTTGCCTCCCGCACACCCCCTGATCTGGGCCAGGGATCGAACCAGCAACTGAGGTACGTGCCCTTGACCGGCAATCGGACCCTCGACCCTTTGGTCCACAGGCGATGTTCTAACCACTGAACAACCGGTCAGGGCAAGACTAAATTGCTTCTAATTAATCTGATTGCAATGCGATCAATCAATGAAAAAAAGAGTTCTCGGTGCTTTTAAATTATTATTAGTCAAGCACCCAGAGCAACAGATCCTGGGTCTGTGGGCCACGGGAGAAGAAAACTGGTCTTTTATTCAAAATAGTAACATTAATATGAAGTTAGTTCAATTGAGCAGATAATCCACTGAAAACGAGTAAGCCAGTTCTTCTGCCTTTTTCTGTACCACCGCCGCCTGTCGCCCTCAACATTCTCTCTTTCCGTAGGTTGTGTTCAGCAAGTCACCTGGGTCGGGGGGAGGGGGTGTTTAGGTAAAAGAGGCGCAGCCAGAGGTGAGAGGGAAAGTGCAGATCCCGAGGCCGAGACCCACAACCCCGACACCGCCCCCTTCTGGACCAGGACCAGGCAACCAAATCCCCCTGGGACTCAACAGCACCCGGCCACGTGCACCCTCCAGCCGGTGCCCGGGAAGGTCTCAGGACTGCGACAATTTCCACAGGCCTCCACGCAATAAAAATAATAAAAAATAATAAAATTCACAGGGGGCAACTTAGGCTGCCGCTACCTCCCCTCTACGCTCACGGACCCCGCCCTCTGCGGACCACGACCGAGGTCTTTCCCCTCCCGGGGCTCCCGGCTGCGCCTCAATAGGCCCCGCCCTCTTCACCCGGCAGGAGCCGCAGCATCCGCTGAGCCCGGAGCCGCATCTGCCCTCCCATCTGCGGGGCCAGGCAGCATCCTCCTCCCGCCCACGGGGCAGCCCCGAGGCAAGCAGGGAGAGGCGCTGCGCTGGGCGCGGGAGCCGGGCTTACCTGGGCGCGAGCGGGGCGGGTGAGCAGGTGGCACGGAGAGCACAGACCTGGGCAGCGGGCAGCAGGCGGGCGGGGCGGCGCGGCCGGCCTCCTTTCACTTTATACCGCCGGCCTCCTGTAATGCGTGCGGGAAGTTTCATCATGCCCGCGGGAGCCAACCAGCGCGCAGGGGCGTGGCCGTGGGAGTGGGCGTGGCGGGCGGGAGGGCGGGACAGGCGGGGAGCCAGGGGTGCGAGGAGCTGGGAGGAACTCCTTTTTCCAGCTCCTTAATGTGTTACTGCACTTGCTGAAGAATAGCTTCCGAGGTCAGTCCAGGGACCCACTGACACCTGGGTTACCTTGCCTGCTGTTCTGACAATTAGGGGAACTTTTGCACTGGGTTCTTAGGGTAGGTTATTTTGCGTTGTAATGAGATGGATAGCATTGTGGAAATGAAAAAAAATAATTTCCCTTCTTGAGTGCTGTGGCTCTACAGAGTTCTCATCACTTTAGTACAGTGATGGCGAACCTTTTGAGCTTGGCATGTCAGCATTTTGAAAAACCCTAACTTAACTGTGGTGCCGTGTCACATATAGAAATTTTTTAATATTTGCAACCATAGTAAAAGAAAGATTTATATTTTTGATATTTATTTTATATATTTAAATGCCATTTAACAAAGAAAAAATCAACCAAAAAAATGAGTTCGCGTGTCAGAGGTTCACCATCACTGCTAGTACTTAGAATTTCAGGATGGCGGGAACCCCAGCCATCTCTCATTTCCTTAGTTTAAAAATAGAAACATAAGGAGGTTATAAGACATATCTATGGTCATATAAGCAGTTAGTGGTAAAATTTTCCAAATTGATTGCAGTAGCTCCTCAGCATCAGAGCTCCCTCATATCCTTAATTGCAAGGCAATCGGGAGGACTAGCTCCTCCTCACTCCTAAGAGAGTGTCTGATACACAGATGCGGACTCACAAATAGTTGCTAAACTAATGAACAGTGGGGCAGATAGGAATAGCTGGTAGGGCATCCTCTTTTCATTAAATACAAACTAGATTTCATTATGCTCTCCCTCAGCAGAGTTAAATTTCCCCTTCTTTGGATATGCAGCCCAGTGTATTTGGATTTTGTGATGGTTCACCTTTAAACTTGTGAGGTGGTTGTACTGTATGTGTTCCACCAGATTGTCACCTTCTTGGTTGTGTTGAGGTCTTCACCTTTTGAGTCCCAGGGTCAGCTCAGTGGATACTACTAGGTAGATCCTCAAACATGTATTCAATTTGATTCCTCATTACATTTGGTTGCTGACAAATTTCATTTTCAGGAAGAGACTGAACTCCAGTCTGAATTTTACCACTAACTGCTTATATGTCCATAGCTATGTCTTAAAACCTCCTTATGTTTCTATCTTTAAAATCTTTAAAATAAAATCAGGGCATTTCTTCTCCTGACTCCCTTACCACAAAATTCCTCTCCTGTAGTCCACAGTGCCTGTCACCTGGCCCTCTCCATATCACCTTCTCTTCAGATTCCAGGAACTGCTCTCTCTTCTCCCCTTCAGTCCCAGCCCTTGGGTGCTAAACTCTCTTGCTTTTCCTAAACCTGCCCAGCACTTCTGTAATTAGTCCCCACTGGACTTCCTACCAGAACCCTACCACATACACTGATCTAAGATATAACTGAGGATGTGGTGGACTTAGCTACAGTGGGAGATGATTCATAAATTCTCTTAATTTTTAGACACAAATGAAAACTAAATTACCTTGGCCTATTTTCCCACATCTTAGCCTACCCCCACATTAAAACCTCCTTCTAAAAGCAGCCTTGGAACATTTAAAATTCTTTGACCTGAGTCACTGAGGAATCAGAATAAAATCCTCCTCTACCAAATGAAACCTTTAGGCTACCTTGTAATAGACTACACTTGTTCAGCCCTGAGAGCATTAATTAAAATGAAGTAAAATAAAATAATTTCAAAGTTCTTTTAAATAACAACTAAATTGGTTTTTCTTAATTATTTTTTGTAGTTGGATCCATCTTCTAGAATTTTTTTTGATGTAGTAATTATACTATACCACATGATGGTAGTAGCTATCCTTTGATATTCATTGACTAAAAATATGTACACAATAAAAAGCTTCATTCATGTTAATAACACTTAAACTAAAGTTGCATTTTTTTCAACCCAATATATCTTTGTAAAATTAATATTTGTTAAAGAGTAAGACATTTTTATTAAGTCTTTACAAAATGCTATAAAACCATTCGGATTTGCCAGCCTCTGTCAATAAGTCCAGAGCTACTAGGAGCCTATGTCCCACATGTTAAATAACACTGAATGAGAGTTTCAATTAGTTTATAAGCCCACCTCAGCCCCCCAAATAGAACATGCTTCTAGAATAGGCCACATTGTTAGCACTTTCCTAAACACTAGATGGGTTTCCAGCAATAGAGCCACCTTTGGATCGCAATAACCAGAGCGCTTGACCTAGGACCCACACTTGAGCTTTTTGCCGACTATGAATTTGCTCATTCAGAGCAGAATTCAGGATGCCACCTGTGTGGGTGAGCTCTCGTGATACAGGATGGAGTCAGTGTGCGATAAAATGGAGCTGGAGCCTCCAAACTCTTGCCCTGCCCAGCAAATGTTAGCTGCAGGCCTTCTCAGCAGCCTGTGCTGCTGTTTCTCTGCTGTTTGATCTAATTTTTAACGATGCTTTTTACCAGGTGTTAAAATGCAATTTGAAATAGGACTTCTGACCTTCAGTTCTGTGTCCCCTACTTCTCTTCTGATTTCATAGAAATTCCCTGTGATGCCTACATTTAAATCA